CCAAAACGCCGTGTCTATCAGTTTTAAGGGACAAACAAACAATTTGACGTCACCATAACGTACGCTGTTATTTCACTTGTAAACTCAATCCAGTCTTTTTTAAAATTCTCTTCGAACTGGTGTATTGGATTAAAAGTTATCTTAACAATAGAAAACAATATTTGTGTAGTATTAAATGTTTTATGTGGAGTCCCCCAAAGATCTATCCTTGGTTCACTCCTGTTTTTAATTTCTATAAATGATTTTTTGAAATGCATCTTTAAAACTGAATTCGGTCATGCTTGCTGATGATACAAATCTATTTCTTACAAACAGTGATATCAAGAAATTATATGCAGATATGAATATTGAATAAAGTAAATAATTGGTTTAGGGCTAACAAACTCTCACTTAACACAGAAAAAACAAACTATATATTATTCCACAAAAAACCACAAAAAGTAAACCTTCCTCTTAAGTTGCTTGACCTTATATTAAATGATAACTTAATCAAAAGCCAGTATTAAATTCTTAGGAATTCTTGTCGATGAGAAGTTATCCTGGCTTCCTCAAATAAGATATATTCAATCTAAAATCACTAATACAGTTGGTATGATGTATCGAGTTCGCTCATATATCAATAAACAAAGTTTTAAACTAATTTACTTTGGACTAATTCATTGCTTCATAAGCTATGCAAACATATCATGGGCAAGTACGCAACCATCAAACCTCAAAAAAATTATAGTCTACAAAAACATGCGTGCAGAATCATTTACTATAAAAATAAGCATGAACATGCTAAACCTATAATGAAAGATATGAAAATGATGGATGTTTTTGAAATAAATATCTATCAGCATTTAATTTTTATGTATCAATTCAATAATAATATCTCTCCTGCAAACTTTAATAACAAGTTTGAACTTAAACATATATGAAAACTATTATCTAGGAGCAAATATAAGTAACACATATAAACTGCCTCAAAACTTTAATAAATATACTGAATATAGCATTGCATATCGAGGACTAAATATATGGAGTAGTTATTAAAAATGATTTAAATGTATGGCAAAGTCATTAAGTTCATTTACGTTTCTAATAAAAAAATAAATTTTTAAAATTTGAGAATCTTTTGTGCTTAAAGGAATCACCAAGGAATTTTATTTATTTTCTAATTTTTGATATATATTATCTTTATTTGATTTACTGATCAGCGCAGCAGTTTTTTATGCCCATTAGGGTTTTTAATTCAGTTCTTATGGAAAGTATATATAGGGCTCTATGAAAAGATTGCGATGACGTATTGTCATCTTTATCTTCTTTGAGCCTTCTGTTTAACTCTTTATTTTATAAAGATCATTGTAAAAAGAAAAGTGTAAATGAAAATGCTCAGAGTTTCCGTTGCTTTGGGGTTAAATGTAAATTAAATTTTAATAAATTTCTTTCAACGGATCATCAATAAATTGCGCAACACTTTTAAAAAGTATTTAACTTAAAGTAGCTAACTAAAATTAAAAATAAGTGGTAGAGTTTTACTTTGTTGGAAACCGGGAATATTTAAAAAAATCCGGCCGGTTGACCTTATCATATGACTCAATTCAACTATAATTTTCCTCAATGTTTTTAGAGCTTTAAAAATTAAAGTATTATGAACTAATTAGAAATAAAGTAGAATATGTTTTTAATAAACCTTTTTTTAAAAGTATTTTTCAAAATTTAGTACAGTAGCTCGATATCAAGTATTACTGAAGGAAATTATTATTATGTTATACAATATACTATTATTATATGAGTCATATATTATATTTAATTTACAAATTCAAAATTACTCCTTCAACATTAGTTTAATGAAATTATTGTATGACATTTTTCAGTATATCTTCTAATGTTATTAACCAACTTGTAAAGCATGGTCAAGATGAAAAGCATATTAGCAAAGAGCCTTGTAAAACATCAACAATCTATAGCAGTTCAACGGATCAGTCTGACTTTCTGATGTTGGATATTCAAATGCATATATAGATGACCAAGTTTCTCATGCTGAATTATGCAAGTATTCGAAGTTGTAAACTGAAATTATAGTTTTAAGTCAATAGAAAATGACAATGCAAGATTTAGCTCGATGTTCTATTGTGGCAACCATTATAAGCAAAATGAATCAAAAGTTTGCTCTTTTTGAATAAAAAAAAATTGCTCCATTGAAATATGTTAAAAGTATGCTTAAATCTAGTATTAAAAAAACAGTTTACTTTTAAGTTTGATAAGACATCAACTAAGCAATTAAAAAAAGCAGTATGATGGACATCTCCAGTATTGGTCAAACAAAAAAGAAGAAATAGTAATGTCATACTATTACTATTTTTTCTTTTTATTGGTCATTGTTAACACAACCAACTATTTGATCATTATTGTAAATTCAAAAATAACCTTGGGTTGGATTTTTCTTATCTTTTATATGTTGAAATGGATGAGTCATATGTTAACAATGCTTTTGAATTAAAGTTAACATTAGATTTTAAAAAAAAGTCTGAAATTATTTTTCTTGACCTTGGTACATGTAACCTTCATAAGTCAGTCTGCTTTTAGAAAAGACATTAAAATGTTTTTCTTTGATTTAGACAAACCTTTTATTAATAATATTTATAAAAGGTTATCAATGAATATCAATGATAATTAACTGCCTAGTGCCAGACTGAAGATTATGCTAATTTAATCGATGTAACTAATTTGGTTGCTGAGTTTGCCAAAAACATGATAAAAGGTCTCACCATAAGATATTGAAACGAGGTCGGCATTTGAACGATTGCCGGATGCTGACCCTAATTCTGATGTTGCATACACAAATATATGTATATACATATATAAGTATTTTATATATATATCATATATATATATATATATATATATATAATATATGTATAAAATGTATATATTTATAAATATATATATATATATATATATATATATATATATATATATATATATATATATATATATATATATATATATATATATATATATATATATATATATATATATATATATATATATATATATATATAATTCTATATGCATTTAGAAACATAATGTGAATTTTAATCCAAGATGAAAGATTTATTTCATTAATGGGGTTTGTCACGATTTAGGCAGCTCTGGCATTAACCCTGTTTCTATGGTTTGTCGTTTGTCAAACTCGGCCTCAGCCCTGGTTCCGGTCATTATCACCCCTGGTCACTTAATTAAATGCGGTAGTGGTGTAGTGGTAAAACACCTGCTTCATAAGCGAGAGGTTCCAAGTTCAATCCCCACCACGTCCCTGGTAGTACCGCGCTCAACTTGTTTCTCCGCGCAGCGGCCTTGTTCATCAAGGTTCGTGTTTCGGAGTTATAGAGTTGAGAGAGGGTTATAACTACTATTAAGTAGCCTCCTTGTCTGTAGTGGCCTTCTCGGCCTTGAGGGGGTGAATAACAAAAAAAAAAAAAAAAAAAAAATTGACAAATCATTGTTATTGTATTCTAATACAGTATTGTAGCTTCCAAACATTTTCTTTTCTGGATACTTGGCATATTGTTCAATGTGTGGCTCACATTTAGAGCAATGAACAAATTTTGATCGCCAACCTTGTACTGTAAAATGTGATTCATTCAAAAATAAAACCTGTAATCAATAAATAAACAAGTTAAAACAAACTTGATAATTGTTAATTTATTTTTTTAACAACTTAAAGTTATTAAAGAAAATAAATTAACAATTATCAAGTCTCATTAATTTAATATCTTCAGTTTTTAAAAATATTATGATTATACAAACATAATAAATAAAATAATAAGTTGTAAATTTAACAACTACATTTTGTCACATCTTTCTCCATTGTCCTTTAGTTCACTTTTTGTATTCCTTTGTCAACAAAAGACTGCTTCTTAATGGTATCTGTAAGCAATGGTTTTTTAGAAGATTTTCTGGGAAACCTTTTAACAGCTCTCAACCTCCTTCGCACAGTAGTCAAGCAGAAATGGATGTCATGCGTAGCTAAATCATTCATTAGTTGGTCACTTGTCTTCTTTAGATTTTTGATACTCTCCAACATCAGATATTGGTCATCTCTCACTGAGGTCTTTCGTTTTTGACCACATTTTCCTTGTCTTAATGGTGATGAGCTGCCTTTGCAAAGTAATGCTTCTTGACCTGTAGATTGGTTAACTGAACATATTGTGGCTATTTCCTGTTGAGATATATTGCAATACTGAAGTAAAATTAATATTTTAACTATTCTTCTTGGTGTAGTATCCATCTTTGTTTAGTTACTTTTTTTTAAATTAGAGAAAACATAGAATAAAACAACAAATAGCAAAAAAAAAAATGTTCGATGCAAATAATTTGCACAATACTGTATTAACTTTCAAGCTAATTCCAGAACATGCTTCAGTTCAGTCTATCAAGATAACTCTAGAACATGCTTTAGTTTAGGATGGAATGCAAGAAGCGAACTTGAGTCAAGCTCGATTTGAACTTTACATTGCAACCAATAGTGACAGAGTATGGGTTTTCCCCTCAAAAAATATTCTGCCACTATTGGTTACAAAGTAAAGTTCAAGTCGAACTTGACTCAAGTTTGCTTCTTGCATTCCACCCTTAGTCTATCAAGCTAATTCTAAAACATGCTTCAATTTAGTCTATCAAGCTAACTACAGAACATGTTTTAAATTTAAAATGCTTTAAAACTCACAATCCTCAAAAAATTTCATATCAAAATTCAAATTTCAAAAGTTTAATCTGAAAAGATTATTTATTTATATTAAGTTTATTAATTTTTATATTTTTGTGGTGATACATATTTTGTTATATATATATATATATATATATATATATATATATATATATATATATATATATATATATATATATATATATATATATATATATATATATATATATATATATATATATATATATATATATATATATATATATATACATATGTAAAAGATTTTTCCATCATAATTTATTTTAGATAAAATTTTTGCAACTAATACACATTTTATTCAATACAAAATGTTAAAGACAATGTTTAAAGAATTGTTATTTACTTTTTTCTACTTATCTGTAATAAAATGTGAAAACAATTCTTCTTACAATGATCCATATGGAATCGAATCTTTTATACTTAGTTACAAAAATAAAAGTTTACTGAATATCTTTAAAAGTTTCGATTTATTTGGTCTTAAAAACTCAGTTAATATGTCCAATGAATGCATAAAGGCATTAACTAATTTTACTGCATCTCCACCTGGAAAATGTAAGCATATTTAATTTTTTAAGCAAAAGTGTGTTAAGTGCAATTTTTATTAAAAATGTTTAGTACATCTTTTACAACAATATTTTAAGGTTTTTAGGGTGTACATTTTCAGGTTTTTAACATCTATTGTAGTTATTTAATGAAGTTTACAAAAATTTAAATTGTTTTTTTAAAACATAAAACACGGAAATAATATAGACTACTTTAAGGTATACAAAAAGGAGGAAGGAGGGAGGGGGTGGGGGAATTAAATATAAAATACTTATAGAACCTGCCTATCCTAAGAAGACTTGTAATTTAATTTTCTTTTGTTTTTATTTGTTTTTATTTGTTTGTAATTTTGTAGATATTGATGCATTACCAAAACCACAAAATGTTTTGCTTGGAAACATGCAGTGGCTAGGCTCTTATGATGAATGCGTTGATATTGAGGATGCTAAGTATTGTTTGTCTACAATGAATATCTCATCATCTCCAGTGAAGTTTTTTTTTTATACTTTATTATTATTTTTATGTTAAATGGTTAAAATGTTTTAAAGGTTTTCACTACAATGCTAAAATTAAAAAAAAAATGGTTATTTTATTATCATTTAATAGTTTTTTATTTGTTTAAATTTTTGACGTTTTTAATCATTAGGTTTTTTTTGCTTTTAATAGTTTTATTTGTGTTGATTTATTTTTAAATATGGTTAAACACAACTTTATTAAATGTAATTTTTAATCATTAAATCTTTTTGATGCCTTTTTTTTATAAATACAGGGTTCCCACTTGGTATGCAAAGCATGCAATTGCTTATACAGGCATGCAAAGCATGTAAAAGCATGCATTTTTGTTAATTAAGCATGCAAAAATAAAAATAATCAATTTTTAAATTAGGTTTTTAAAATTCTGGTCATATATTTTTAAAAGTAACTACTGTGTATTTTTTACATAGAAAATGTCTATTAATAAAATGTGTTTTAATATTATTTGTGTTTTATTTATTTATTATCTATTTGGTTTAAAAGGTGTCAAAGATGTTAACAACAATTTAAGTTTAGCGCATTGCATTTATTGTAAGAAGTCTTTCAGTATATCTGCCAGTGACATTAGTCAACTTGTGAAGCATGATAGGGTTGAAAATCATGTTAGTAAAGATCCTTGTAAAATATCAAACAACCGAAAACAATTTAATACATATATCACACTTTCAAATGTTGGATGTTAAAGTCTCCATATTGATGATCAGCTTTACATGTTGTCAATTGTAATGACAGTTTCAACTGAAAATGACAATGCAGGATTTAGCTCTATGTTTCCTGATTCTGTTGTGGCAAAGCATTATAAGCAAGCTGAATCAAAAATTTATTATCAAATGCAGTTTGGAATTGCCCCTTATGTTAAAAGTATGTAAAAATCTGGTATTAAAAAAACACCATTCACTTTTAAGTTTGATAAGACAACAACTAAGCAAGTAAAAAAACAGTATGATTGGTATCTTCAGTATTGGTCAGACAAAAATGAACTTTTTATTAATATTCACTTTTTTTTAAGTTGTCTAGTGCCAGGCGTGAAGATTATGCTAATTTAGTTGATGTAACTAATTTGGTTGCTGAATTTGCTAAAAAGCATGTAGAAACCCGATGGTTTTCTATGAGCTATGTTGCTGTTAGAATTTTAGAACAATGGGTTAACCTTAAAGAGTATTTTTTAACATTTCTTCCAAAACAAAAAAACTTTAACTCTTTGTTTAAAACAGATAGATACAAAAGAATTAGTGAAGCTCTGCGTGATGATGTTCAGACTCAAGGGTATCTAAATTTTTGTGCTTTTTCAGCACAATATTTTGAAACATTTTTAGAACTATTTCAAACAGAATCTCCCATGGTTCACATTCTTTATCCTGCAAAGTGTAAACTATTAAACTCTTTGCTTCAAAAATTTATTCTTCCCAAAAAGTTAAAAAGTTATAATGGAGAGTTTAAGTTACAGTCTGAAATTTTAACGATTGGTTTCTCCAAAATCGAAAACCATAGAAAATTAAGTTCATTTAATTAGGAACAAAAGTGAAATTGCTGTTGCATGGAGCTGCTATACCTAGTTCAGTAGGTGAAAAATTTAGGACTGAGTGCAAAGAGTTTTATGTTGCTTCTGCATCATATATACAAGAAAACTTACTTTTTCATGTTTCACTTTTGAAGCTTGCACAAATTTTTCATCCAGAAAAGCGCATTGCTCTAGGTGCAACAAATGTAATATCTAATTTAACATCAAAAGTTGCTTTAGTATTGGAAAAACAACTTAGCCTGGTTTTTCATCTAAATGAGATTTCTTTAACCAAGAATCTCTGTGTGAAAAAGTAAGAGATCAATACTTATCTTATCAGAATAAGGTCTTTCCAGAACACTTTTATATAAATTCAGAACTTTCTACTACATCTGTCACTCAAAAGCAAACATTTTGGTTTTATGCATTTAGTGCTTGTTACCTGAATAATTTAATTTCCCACCACGTCCCTGGTAGCACCGCGCTCAACCTGTTTCTTCGCGCAGCGGGTTTGTTCATCAAGATTCATGTTTCGGAGTTATAGAGTTGAGAGAGGGTTATAATCACAAGTAGCCTCTTTATCTGTAGTGGTCTTCTTGGCCTTGGGGAACTACATTATAAAAAAAAAATATATAAGTGCAATCCATTCAATTATAAACAAATAGATAATTATTGGAGTCAGGTGGAAACTATATGTGATGAAGCAAGTAAATTAAAACTCCCTCAGCTGCTTGTACTTGTTAAGTGTGTTTTATCTCTTAGTCATGGCAAAAGTACAGCTAAAAGAGGATTTTCTATAAATAAGAACTTTATAGATTTATTTATATTAGCTTACATTACCAGCTTAAAAAAAGACACTATTGTTGCATTGAGATTTTATCTTTTTTTATTTAGTAATTTTACAATATTTTATGATAAATAGTTTGAATTATTGCAACAATTTTTTCAGTTAAAGATGAACTTAATCAAGTAGGTGGAGTTATAAATTTTCCAATAACAAGTAACTTAATTAAATGTTGTAAAGAGTCTCATCAAAGATATAAAGTTTATTTGGCTGAGCAAACTAGATTAGAAAAAGCTGAATCAGAAAAGGTAAACCAAACAGAGATGCTGGCAAAATCTTTTCAACAGAAAAAACAGACCTAGAACTTATTGAAACACATATAAGTATATTGCTCCCCATTGTTTTAATTAAATTAGTATATTTTCTTTATTTTACTGTTTGAACTTTGTCATTAAATAAAACATAGCTAATAGGAATTTTTTTGAACAAAATATTTTATTTCAATTACATTACATCAAGGATATGCAAAGCTGGCATCAAGGTTGCAGAAACTGCTATCGATGAAGATAATGGAAAACTGCAACAAACACTACTCAAAGTAAAGTTAGATAAAACTGTATGCCAAGCTTCACAAGCTATGGTTGACATGAGATTAAAGCATAAAAGAGAATTACAAATAAATCTTAAAAATTTGAAAAAAAAAGAAAATATGAGTCAAATAAAGTTATAAAAGCTGCTGAAAAAGCATTATTCTTTAAATTTTTTATGTAATTTTTTATGATGTAAAATATCAAACTATATAAGTTTTGAAATATAATTTTATATTGTATTTAAATATACTTGATATATACTAAAAATAATAATATACCAAGTACATTTGTTTTCAGTCTTATCTTTTTTTTTTTACTATTTATTTTTTGATTTCCAATAGAGTTTGAACTAATTCTAATGTAATGAAAATCATGTTTTTTAAATATCTATGATATTTAAAAAATAATAAATATGTGCAATATTTTTTAGCAACGTGCTTATATTTTAATGTAATATTTAGTTAATAATGCTTTAATTCTCAAAAATAATATGAAAATTGATCCTACAGTCATCAATTTGAAGTTTGCTATAATATTTAATATTATTTTAAAAATATATATATGCTTTTATAAATTTATATAATCCATACGCTATTTATAAAATCAAAAGCATGCAAATTTTTAAAAAGAAGCATGCAAAAGTATGCAACACAATTAAGAAATAGCATGCAAAAGCATGCAATTTTAGTAAAAAGTAGCATGCAAAGGCATTCAAATTTCATAAATGTTGACTGGGAACCTTGTAAATTAAAAACTTATTTTACAAATAATTATTAACTTGTAATTTTCCTTAATCTTCTCAAATTAATTTCAAATAATCATTTATAGTAATTTTTTACACATTTTTCAAATTTTGTTTAAGATTTTTCACACATCTTTTGACATTTTCACATTCCTCTTTCACATCTTTTGACATTTTCACATTCCTCTTTCCATACTTACATTACATTTTAACATTTCACATCTACTTTTATCATTTTTTACATTTTTTTGTCAATACATTGACTTAAATACCTTGATAGCAAAGATACTTTTTAAAAAGAAGTCATACTGTTGTGCATGTGTCCTTGCATACTTAATTGGAACTGTTAACTAATTCTTTATCATTAATTACTAATGAATAACGTAAAAAGAAATAACAGTTATATTCTTATCTTTAGACATTTTTTTAAATGTCTTAATTTTTTTTGTTTTTAATAAATAGTTTCTGGGTGAAATTGGGATTTGTATGCCAAAGCAATGTACAACTAAAGATATTGGTGTCATTTTAAATGTAATATCTGGAAGTAAGTTTTTTTATAAGTTTTAATTTTTAATCTGTTAATAAAATCATTAAATCATTATAAAATATTATAAAAGAATAAAACATCTCTTATATATTAATACTGAATTAAATGCTGCCCCTGCTGCCGTTACTCATTTGTGCGTGTTTGACACGAAACTCATGGCAGCCAATACACCTGAGTTAATAACTCAGAAAGAGTTGCAGCCTTTTTTTTATAAGAAAATGTGAGTAAAAGTGTATGTAAATATCTAATTTATGTAAACTGCAAATGTGCATTGCAAGGGTTCAAATCCTTTTGCTTGCACATTTAATTTTTTAAAAACTTTTTAAACTTTCTAAAATATAAAATATAAGATTTTTAAAGTTCTATAAATGTTATAAAAAAAACTTACATAAAGATATTTTATACTATAACAAACGAAAGAGAGAGAATTTTTAAAAAAGCCTAAAATTTCTAAAAATTCCAAAACATAAAGACAGGCTTGGTCGGGAAGCGGAAGTGATCGCTCTTGATTGCTGACCACGTAAATAGTATTTAGTTGCAAAAAGCTGGCCAGATTTTTTAGTCGTTTTGAGAACATTTCAAAAAGCAAAAAAAAAAAGCGCAAAAGATTAATTGGATCGATGAGAGACAATTACAAAAAAAAAAAAAAAAATTAGGTAAACAAAATATCTTTAAATGCCAAAAAACTTAAAGCTAGATAAATTACGTTTAGAACAAGTATTTTCGAAACATCGCTCTTTATTATTTTTTTTAATAAAATTAGGCGATGTTTTTTATATATAGTAACATCCAACGATTGTTTAAAAAGAAAACAAATATTCTTTATTAAACAAAGTTTACAAGTTTTAGTGTTATTTAAGCTAAATTATTTTATAAATAAAAAAGTTAATTTTTTAAATACCTATTTTATGTTTCGCGTAGTTTGAAAAGTTAAACATATTTGAAGAAATTCTTCTTAGTAAGATAAACAAATGAAATAATTAAATCATTCAATTACTATAGAAATTAAATTAACAAGATAGAAATCAACTAAAAAGATTAAAAATACTTTATGACGAGGAACTGAAACTGCTTCACAATATCGCTGATGATGTTTAGTGAGTGGGTTTTTAATTTTAATTAGTATTTAAAGCAGAAAAAAGTATAACGAGTTTTTAAGAATGGCAACTGAAGTGAAAATAATTAGAGTTAGTAAACCAATATCTAGAAACTTTTCTTTATATCTAATTATTTGCTCTATATATTTGTGTTCTGCGTGACCTCAGGCGCGGTGCTTGTTCATCCGCGAATTACTTTGTATGCGTTGTTTGTGTTTAGTAACCAGAAACTTTTTATATGTTTGTTACATAATTAGTTTTATTAACTTTAACGATTATAACTTCATTGAAAATGCAATTATTTTTGTAAGTCTTTATTTAAATCATAAAAATTACTTATTATTCAAGATACATTATGATAAAAAACAGATACACAAAATTACATTTACATAAAGAATTCATACTTTTTAAATAAAAAATAAGAATATACTAATAAAATCTATAATTTATACTAAACTTTTAAAATTTTGACAATTTAATTAATATATATTTAAAACATTTATTTTTGTAAACAAACAATATACGATTATGCTAGAAATCTCAAAACGTAACAAATCGTGAATAATACAATATCTAAAACATTTTGACAGAATGCTCTAGAGCTTTATTTCGCTTAGTCAGCGTATTTTTTGAACCAATAGAATTAGTCTGTTCGTTAATTTGGTGGGTTTTTAGTGTTCGCGAATATTTTTTTTATTCTTTCGCACCAAGATTTTTTAAGAACATTTAAGTTTTTTTATGTTTCCATGTATGTCCGTAAAATAAAAGTTTTATGTTTCGTAAATAAACTTAAATGTTCTCAAAACCAATAAAAAAACCTCGTCAGTTTTTTGCAACTAAATATAATTTCCGAGGTCAGTATTCGAGAGCGATCGCTCCCGCTTCCCGACCAAGCCTGTAAAGAGAAATTTCTTGCACTTAAGTCATGATTGAGATACTTATGTTGTTAATGTGCTTAGGTAATTAGTTAAGTTAGGATGTTTAACACATTTTAAAGAGACAACTTTCTTATAGGAAAAAAGATTTTACACTCAAGCTTTTATTTTCTTAAAAAATATTCAATGGGGCAAGGGTTTTAATAAGGGGTTGTCCATAAATTATGTCACGCCTAGGGGTAGGGGGGTTGGAGGAGAAGGCGATTTTGTGACGATTTGTTACAAGGGGCAGGGGGGGAGGTCTCGATTTTGTGATGCAACATTTAATTTTTTTTTCGGAGAAGACTTTTAATTAAAAGAGTGTCTGACCAAACAAAAACTCTCAGTTGATATACCTACATGTTGATTGTAAAAACAACTACACCTAAATCTTACTTTGATGTGTACGCTCAGTTAACAGAGTAGTTACAGCCTGTTAACGGACTGTTATAACTGTATTTGCAGTACATGTTCTGCGCTTTAAATTTATATGGTTCAAGTGTAGAACTTTATTTAGTTAGTGCACAAAAGTGTGCAACAACAAAAAAACAAATCTTTGTGCACTAACTTAAAAAAAAAAAAATTTCATTACCGAGAGGTAAACCTGGAACTCTGGGTTACTTTACTAGCTGGAAGCAGAATCCACTCGTCCAGGATTATATTGCAAGAGGATAGAAAATTGTATTTATAAAATAATATTTTTCATGTATAATATATTATTTATTATATATTATATATATATAATATTTTGCATGTATTATATATCGGAAAAATAGATTTTTAAAATTGGTATCATGTTTAGGATAGTGATGTTAATTTATACAATTTTACACGGAACTATTGGGGTGAGTACTAATTAATTAACTCAAAGAAGCTCAGAGAATTATAGGCATTATATTTAAAATCGTTTTGTATTTTGTAAATTTTTGCACACACCCACTCCCCTCCCTGAAAAACTTATATTTTTTAGGGGAGGGGGAGTACAAACTTATTGTATAATATTGGGGGGGGGGGGGGAGTCAATAAAGTGTTACAGATGCATTACAAGGGGGGGGGGGGGGGGGGAAGGGGTCAAAAAATGTCAAAAACTGTGTGACGTAGTCACGTAGTTTTTGACATTTTTTGAATTTCTTAGTTTTTAAGAAACTTGATGTAGTCAAGTTTCTTTTTAAGAAATTTTATAAAAATTGAGAAGTATCTTGAGAATTAAGAAATCTCTTGAAAACTAAGAAATTTCTTAATTCTTAAGAAATTTCTTAAGAATTAAGAAATTTCTTAAGAATTAAGAAATTTGAATTAAGAATTAAGAAATGCCCAAACCTTTGCACACGCCTAAATTTAATATTGTATTCTTTACATCACACACTTCAAATTTAAGTGTGTGGTGCAAAGAATGCGATATTAAAGTTATATTTAAAATATAATTTTTATATACTCATTTAACACAGTCTAAACTGATCTTATCATTGCTTGTAAAAGAAAAAAAAAAGGAAAATAAAAAGAAACAAATTAAGAGAAAACATTGAAATGAAAAAAAACAACAACTAGTTTTTTATCGCAATAAAAAAATTTAGAAATCGCCATTTCAATAAAGAAAGTTTGTTTTTTTCTTTTGAAAGGCAATGCGTTGCTTTTCAAGTTGAAAATATTTCTGTTTCAAGTCTGGTCCCTGCTAAATTATTTAGCAGGGACCAGATCAATCAACAATCTGGAGTCATCAGATTTCAGTCTGCAGGCTAAATATGTATTTACTAAATTTATTTGATAATTTTATAATATTTATTATTATAATATAGAATATTAATAATAGTATATTTTATTATTATTGTGTATTAAATATTTATTTTACTAAATTTTCACTAGAACTAAAAGTATTATAAACTATAATTTATAATATTTATTATTACATTATAATATAGAATATTATTTAATACTTTATAATTGGTATATTCTATTTTAAATAAAAACAAAATTAAATTTTTTACTTTGTAAATTGAAAGCAAGATTTAATTGCATCAAAATATTTAAAAACAACCATGGTAAATTATTGTACAAAAAAGCAGATCTTTTTGAAGCAAAATTGCTCCACAATAAACCCTAAAATTCAGCATGTGCATTATTTTACTTTTAATTTCATGGAAAGAGTAAGAAAATTTTTAGTTGATTTGTTATGTAAAGTGTTGATGAAAATCTGCAGCAAAAAAATTGAGTTGATAAATCAATCTTTTTTTTTTTTTTTTTTTTTTTTTTTTTTTTTTTTTTTTTTTTTTAACATTTTCACTTCCAACAAGGCTGCAAGCAACCACTATAAGAGCTGGAAGTTACTGGAAGAGAAAAGACTAAATCTGTAGAGCAAGATAACGATTGACTGATGACTTAAAAGATTGCAAATTATATGAATCAGGAAAGCAAGATGAAGGAAGCGAATTCCAAAGAACTGATGTTCGAGGAAAAAAACTAGAAGAATAAGAGTTTTTGAAGCACTTAGGAACAGTCACAGAAAAAGGATGAGACTTAATTGAATGGCGAGTAACACGAGAATGAATTTTAGTAGATGGCACAAGGGACGCTAGCTCTTTAGAGCAGTGCCCATTATAGTATTTGTAGAAAAGAGAAAGAGAAGCAACATTACGACGATGTGACAAAGGTTGGAGATTGGCTGCCAGAGCAGGTCCAACTATGTTTACAATTCGTTTTTGCACCTTGTCTAAAAGAGAAAGAGCATCATTAGAAGATCCGCCCCAGATGTGGCAACAGTATTCCATACAGGGACGGATTTGAGATTTATAGAGATAGAGAATAGAATCTGGAGTAAGAAAGTGTCGAGCTCGATAAAGAGATGCAACCTTAGCAGATGCTAATTTTGCAATGGATTTGATATACGGTTTAAAAGAAAGATCAGAAGTAAGAGTTAATCCTAGAAGATGAATGGTAGATGACTCATCTAGTACATTACCATTCATAAATATAGGAAGATCTAAATTAT